CCGTCCGCTCCTGCGCTCGGCTACGGCCCCGGCTGCGGCGCTGCCACTGCTCAGCCAGACGCGCTGCCGTCGCCGCGGTGGCTCTGACAGCTGCGGCCCGGCCACGCCCACCAGACCCACGGCCAATCAGCTTCGGGCTCAGGCCACGGCTCCGCCCCGCACGTGCTGCCCCAGGGGTAGCGGAGCCGGGCCTCCGAGCCCCACCCGCCAGACGGGGGCGTCGGCACGCCGGAGAGGTGAGCCCGCCGAGGCCCGGAGAGGCTTTCAGAAAGCCACTGGGCCTGGGAGCGGGGTGCAGGAATCAGAACGCCCTGGTACCCACTCGGCACCCTCTGCCCAGTCCTTACCGTAAGAATGGACTCCTGGGAGAAGGTCAGAGCAAGCTGAGGCTTGAGCCTACATATTTGGGCTTAGATGCGCAAAACAGGGGCACCTGTTGGATAGCCTGACTCCAACATTTACTCACAGATCTGGCTGCAATCAGCTCAGGGGTCTGATTGGTCCAGGCCTCAGATCTCTGCCCGGCATGGATGGCTATAGCTTCCCACCTCTCCAGGGAAACAGTTCTGGGCCCCAACCTATCCTTTGTCCACTCGTGTGTACACACGCCTCAACCCTACCTTGTCCCACAGAGTGGCAGCCTCTGGCACTGAGACCCAGTATGCCAACTAACACCCATCAAAAACAGGACATTAAGACTCCTCTCCTGAGAGTACACACCTCCCCATGCTTCAGTTTCCAGCTCGATGCTAGCATACAAAGCCCTTAGTGGCCGTCGAACACACACACACACACACACACACACACACACACAAACTTGTTCCTAACCCAGCTTTATTCGCCATGTGGCTTGAGCTTGGGTAAGACCACCTACTCTCTGAGTCATATCTTTCTATCTGGGGTAGACAGGAAGATGGGAACTAGACGATCTGAAAGTCTGTGAGTGGGGGGAGGGTGGAATATTTCTACCCTGTAGAGTGTTTGGGTAGCTTTTGTGTCCAGGACCACATCACTGCTCAGAAGTGCTGAGGCTCTTTGAAGCTCACCCAAGCACTCCCCCATTCATCTTTTTGGAGCTTTGATTAACATCAAAATCCCATACAAAGTCCAAAGAAAAGAACATTACAACTGGACAGATTCTCAGAAATTGTATGACTTCTCTGTTTCACCGGCACGTTCCAAGTCAGAGAGATGACCCCATCACAATCCTACATCTAGTCCATGGCAAGGTTGGAGCTCACCCAGGACTCTGATATCCTCCTCCAAAGCTGGGAGCTCGTGTACCACTGCAGGCTGTTCCGAGTTCCTGTCCACAGGCAGGTGCATCTTGTGAAGGTGTCGGAGACAGTGAGTCATGGCATTGCCAACAGATGATGCAGCATAAGGCACCGCCCCCCCCCCTCACGCACTGTCTCTTATGAGCAAAGTTAATCCCCAAGCTGGTGTTTCTTGGCGCCTTCGAGGTGTATTTTAAATTCTGTGAAGCGACTAAAAATATGCTTCAGTGTGTTGAGTATGAATGATTGTGACGGGAGGGTTAGGAAAACAGATCTCATTCTGAAACTTGCCCGCTGCCTCTTTCCAGCTTGCTGAACTCAGGCCTGCAAAGTCAAGCAGGTAAAGTTCCACTTGGTAGCCTGGGGTGACAGATGACTAGCAGGTAAGAACAGACTTAAGAGCTCCATGAGGCTAGAACTGAGCCCTAGAAATGATCTGCAATGCTGTGTCATGGTGCCAGCTAGACGATAGTGTCTGTCTGGGATACTGCCCAGCTGTGGAGCTGCAAAAGCTCTGGGCCCCAGGCTCATCCCCTCCACCCTAGATTCCTCATCCTTTCACAGCCTTGTCCAGGGGAACAATTTTAGCCCTCTATGCAAAAGAGGAGCCTCCCCTACCATGACCTTGCTTTCTACCACTGGGTAGGTTTAAAGAAAGGAATGAGGGCAGATTTTTTTTTTAATTGATACTGGATTTAAACTCAAAGCCTCACACTCTCACTTGGCTTTTCTACACAAGGCTGGCACTCTACCACTTGAGCCACACCTCAACTTCTGACTTTTTTTGCTATTTAAATGAAGATAAGAGTCTCATGGAGCTGGGCAATGGTGGCTCACGCCTGTAATCCTAGCTACTTAAAAGGCTAAGATCTGAGGATCAGGGTTCAAAGCTAGCCCAAGCAGAAAAGTCCCCATGAGACTCTTGTCTCCAATTGTGGAGCTGTGGCTCAAACTGGTGGAGCACTAGCCTTGAGCAAAAGAACTCAAGGATAGCACCCAGGTCCTGAGTTTAAGCCCCACAACTGACCAAAAAAGTCTCATGGGCTTTTCTGCCTGGACTGGATTTAAACCAGAATCCTCAGATCCCAGTCTCCTAAGTAGATAACATTATAAGCATGAGCCACTGGTACCCAACTATTGGCAGATTTTTTTGAGCCTTTCAAATTTAGGGGACTTCTGCCACTAAGCAAGCCAGCCATTTCTGTTGTGTGAATATGAACTCAGAGGTAGTCTCTAGAGTTGGTCTTGTATGGATTAAAGGATGATATGGAAAGTTGGTACAAGCCCTTTCTGGCTGTGTGTTCCTGGCAAATCAGGGCTTTCTGAGGACCAATGGCAGCACTATGGGACCATGAGCCATAGCATTTACAGGGTCAGTACTTTCATCTCACTGATGAAGAACCTGTGTAGCGCAGGGAAAAGAAATAATTTTCCTGTGGTCACATATGCAGTAAATGGTGGAGGAGCTAAGACTATACCCAGATGTGCCTACTTCCTGATCAAATGCTTCGTCAACTACGCTGCAGTGCCACTTGGCTTCTGCAAGACAGTTTCCTCATCAGCATAATGATATGTTAGATGGCTACAGGGCTTTCTGACATTCACTCATCAGTTCCAGGAGACCATAACATTAATGGCCATTACTCAAAAGGCAAATGCATTTGGGAGATAGTGGGCTAAAAACAGAGAATGGGATTCCTTACTGAAGAATTTCCTAAAGCCTTCACAGTGAGAATGTATGCTGGGAGTGTCCCAGAGATTGAGGCTGCCATGTTTCTGTATGTACTTGACCACAGAACATCTTGTAAGAATTGAGCTCTGCAGAATGCACTCTGAGAAATGGTCCAGGATATCTGGGGACCATTTGAGACACCTTCTCACTCAGCCCTACATCTTGATTCTGTTTTTGCCTCCAGTACCTCCATCATCTTCCACTAACACATCTCTGGCCTCTCTGTGGCTCACATAGATCCTTGCAAAGCTCCGCCCCATCTGCTTCCTCCTCTGGGCTTTCCTCCATAGTGCTTGTACACAACAAACCTTTCCACAGGCCCCCATTGCCTAGAAGGGTCTAGATGTTTACATTCCTTGCCAGGCTCTGGTGACTCACGCCCCAATTCCTAGCTACTCAAGAGACTGAGATGTGAGGATCACTGTTCAAAGCCAGCCCCAGTAGGAACATCTATGAGGCTCTTATCTCCAATTAACTACTTAGAAAATGCCAGGAGTGGGTCTGTGGCAAAGGAAGGAAAAAAGCTCAGAGACAGTGTACAAGCCTTGAATTCAAGCCCCAGGACTGGCATACGTTTGCCATTCCTTAATGGGGGCTCTGTGACCTCACAGTATTTCCTGATCCATGTGGTCCAGCCTCTGAACCTACTCTCCATCTATCAAAAGCACTCTCTACCTCACTAAACTCAGGGCTGCCTGGACTCATTCATTCTATGTTCTGGAGCCTGGGCAAATAGCAAAAATTGGGTCGTGTATTTATGATCCCTACCCTCTGACGGTTCAGGACCACGGAGAGCGTTCCATGTGCAACCCCTTTCGACCCTTCAGTTACAGCCTGACTTGCTCACTCCTGAAACTGATTCTTCAGAAACCCACCACAGGGCTGGGAATGTAGCTTAGCGATAGAGTCCTTGCCTAGCATGCACGAAGCCCTGAGTTCAATTCCTCAGCACCATATAAATAGAAAAGGCCAGAAGTGGTACTGTGGCTCAAGTGGCAGAATGCTAGCCTTGAGCAAAAGAAGCTCAAGGACAGTGCCCAGGCCCTGAGTTCAAGCATCAGGACTGACAGAAAGAAAGAAAGAAAGAAAGAAAGAAAGAAAGAAAGAAAGAAAGAAAGAAAGAAAGAAAGAAAGAAAGAAAGAAAGGAGAGAGACAGAAAGACAGAGAGATGGGTGGGGGGAGAGAGAGACCCAGACAGATAGCCCTTTCTCCTGGAAGCCTTCCCTGACCCACATGAACAAGTCACTTCCTTCTCCAGAGTACTGAAAAATCCGTGCATCCCTCTATCACACCAAACTCATTATCCTGATTATATTTGTCAGAAGAGTCCATCACTGACTAGCCCCTCCACAAACCATGAGCCTCTGGGATTGATTCATCTTCATGATTGAGAACAGGCGTGATGCTTAGAGAATGTTTGTTGACTGAATGAGTAAATGACATTTAGCAGACATTTGACAGGAAATATGTGTTGGTTTATAACATGTATCTGTTGCTCTGAGTAACTCAGAAACCAGCCAGATTCCTCTCCTGGCCACTCCAAATTTTTTTTTCTCCTCGATGGACTCTACTCTCCATTAGCCACCACCTTTTGATTAGCCTTCTCTTCAGGTCACCACCCGGGGTGGGGAGAAGCCATCCCTTTTCTGCTCCTGTGGTAACAGAGCTGAGGACTCACTGGAGCCCCCACCCCCATGCCAGCCTGGGCTGCCTCATGAGTTCTGCTCTGCCTCTCTCTCGATCAGAACAGATGGTTCTGAGGCCCCACAAACATGAGGTTCTGTTCTATCATTTGAACATTTTAAACACTTTCTAAATTATAGAAGCTTAACCCCTTTTGACTGTGGATTGAGAATCAACACTAGTCTCCCTTGAAGTCCATTGATCCCAGCCTCTTTCCCACCACATGGGGAAGTTGCAACTCAGAGAGGGCTGGTGGGCTGCTAAGAGCATGCAGGGAACATAGTATTTTTTTTGGCTTTTGTCATGTTTTTGTTGCTGTTGCTGCTGCTGCTGCTGGTGGTGGTGGTTTTGTTTTGTTGTTGATGTTGTTTTTAATGCCATGAAGCAAACTCAGGGCCTCAAGTATTCTATCCAAGTGTTGTTCCACTGAGTCTCAGCCCAGGCTTGCTGTTTTGTTTTAATAATCAGAATTCCTTCCTTCTTTTTTTAGATGCCTTCAGCTTTCCTGGTCTTAATGGAGCTATCAATCAGGCATGGGCACAGAATCCAAGCTAGCCCAACTGGACACTCATGCCCAGGGCTTTCTATTTTGAATGAGTCGCAGAAGAATAGGAAAAATGTCTGGAAATCTGGTAGAGACAGCCAAATAAGATGGCCCAGGTGGTCTAGTTCCTAGATTACTAACCTCCCCACCAATTCCGTAAGCTTTCAATAAACTCTTTCTCCTTCTTTTACTTCTGTGTGTGTGTGTGTGTGTGTGTGTGTGTGTGTGTTTGCGTGTCTGTCCATCTATCTGTCTGTCTGTCTATACTGGGACTTGAACTCAAGACCTCATGTTCTCATGTGGCTTTTTCTGCTCAGGGCTGGTGCTCTACCACTTGAGTCATGCCTCTACTTCTGGCTTTTTGCTGATTAATTGGAGATAAGAGACTCATGGACTTAGGAAAGTTCTGTTCAGATCTCAACCTGCTGAGTAGCTAGGATTACAGGTGTGAGCCACCAGCGCACAGTCCCCTTTCCTCCTTAAGGGAGTCCATCCATTTTTGCTGCACACAAGCCACAACCCAAACCAAGGTAGTCACCCAGAGGACAACTGTAGACACTAGCTCCCACTGGGATGAAGCACAACCCCAGCAACCTGCAGTGCTTCATACCAGCACGTTAGAAATCACATTAGCTCAACAACCTTTGGATCCCACACTGGCATAGGGAAGATCATGTACTTCAGGAAATGGAACGGACCAGTTGTTGGCATTGCAGGGGAACAAGTCAGAGGCTGGGCTGTGGGAATCTGACATGCGTGGTCAAGCCTGAGGTCAGAGAGGAAGAAGAATTATTTATCAGTATTGATAAACAGCTGAGTACCAGTGGTTCACGTCTATAATCCTACCTACTCAGGAGGCTGAGATCTGAGACTCATAACTCAAAACCATCCCAGGCAGGAACATCCAGGAAACTCTTATCCCCAATCAACCAGCAAAAAGCCAGAAGTTGAGATGTAGCTCAATCGGCAGAGTGCCATCTTCAAGCCCCAGTACCAACACACATACATGCACCCCCACACTCCTACATACATAGATACCCCTTACATGTTCCCACACATAGGGATGCATGTGAGTATGAGCAATCTAGGCAGGTATACCAGCCAGCCAGGGGCTAGGAAGCCCAAGTGAGCAGGGCCAGGCTTGAGGATGTGTCCTGATGGCCAGCATTCTCCCTCCTGTGGATATTCCCAAGAACAAATCTGGAGCATCAGTAGTGGAGTTCTCCAACATCTGCCTCCCAGCCTGGGAGATGTCTTGTTTGTCAGACACCTCACTCCTGGCAGCTCTGAAGGCCTCTCAGAGACCCACATGTGTGACCTCCTTCCTCTGGGACCAGCATCAAAGAGTTAGGAGCAAACCTACAGCCTGGTTTGTCTGCAACAAGGTGGAAGTCTCCATCCTTCCAGGAGCAGCCAGTCCCAAGGTACCAGCCCTCCCCAGACACTTTGCAAGATTGTATCTTATAAAACTCCCTGCTGAGCATTTTCAGAAGCACCATCTTGCCTTGCCCAGCAACTCAGCCCTCACAATGTGCTTGATCAACCACCCAGAATGGCAGAGAGGGGGGTAGGCCAGCCTTTTAGCCTCACCCCCTCTTATGCATCCATACCACACTCACCCCTGATTCAGCATGTGCCTTCAGTATCACCCCTGCACCTTGCCCTGTGTCTTCCACTTAGGACTCCATTCACTCACTTCTGCTTTTACCAGCTCTCTAAAGCCACTTCCAGAAAGATTCTTAAGGGCTGAATCTTTTCTCATAGGAAGTGTTTCTATTTGGTTTCACTGTCCACGGTTTCACCCTGGACACACCCTAAAGGGACCCACTGATATGATTGGAATATGCATGCAGATGAGCATAACTAGGGTTCTTGGTCTTCTTCCCCATCCAGTGAAGCTTGGACTTGGGGATGTGAGGGCTGTAGTTGGGCTTCTGTGAGTCTAAAGCCAGCCTGAGGCCTGGGATACAAATCCACATTTGACACATCTCAGTTTTGGCAGAGGCTGGAGGTGGCCCCTGTCACACTGAAAGGGACAATGACCATGATGTCCCATTCCAGCCTAGACTGGCTTCTTCCTCATCTGGAAAGCCAACTATGGGCACAGGTGCATTTCTTCCCCACTTCAAGGTGACTATGTCATGAGCTCCAGGAGTCACGCTGAGCTGGTCAACCTTGAGATGCCCACTCCTGAGAAGGGCTGATTATGGGGGCAGGTGTGGGCTGAGCTAGAAAGACCTGTCACAGCCAACAGAGAGAGGCAGGGAGGAACCCAGGAGAGTAGATGAGGGTCAGGTGCTCTGCAGGAGGCCTGGTCACTGCTCTGATCACTGTGCCCATGGCACAACTCAGCACAAAGGAGATGGAAATCAGCAAGTGTGCAAGTGACAGCCTGGCCAGGCTCCAGAGGAGGGGACAGAAGCTCAGGCTCAGAGGTGGAGAGAACATGCCTCCCTACTGCTGCCTGCCTGGAAGCTGTTGATCTCCTGCGGGGCTCACTGAGCCCAGCTGCTCTGAACCCAGCAGTGAGTGTGGGTCCCACAGAGCCAGCCCTCCCCATTGGCAGTGCTGGGATCAGAGCGTGGGCTGGGTAAGGGGGCACCAAGAACAGGAAACAGCCATGCAAGGCCCTCTGTGTGACTTGGGGGCAGCTTCTTTGTGGCTGTATAGGCTTGGGCACTCCTTTTTGTGGGGGAGTCACACCCCCATACCAGCCATCCTCCAAGACTACCTTCCTTTCAGAGTGTAAATTCACACTGGAGGCATCCTGTGCCATGACCTTGCAGATTAGGTTGCAAGATCAGAGTGAGAGGTCAGGGCAGGGACACCTAGGGATCCAAGTGGAATGACCCATCACTGTCCCCACTTTATAGGCTTCTTGGTGTGACCTGCCCATGCTTCCTTTCCTCCTCCTTCCTGGAGAGGCACCATGAGTCTGTGAATAGCAAGGCTGAATAAAGGCCTGACATCCGTGAGCTTTGTGCTGGTTCTATGTGCTTTAATGGGCATGGCAGGAAGCCAGGCTGAGACCCCAAGCGGGAGAGATCTGGTGCTGAGTGTGGGTCCAGATCCAGCCACCCTGGAGAGCACCAGTGGCTCAATCTCCAGTCAGTGCTGGGCCCTGCCAGCTCTCTAGCTGGGAAAAATGGCAGATACAGCTTTGCCAGGCTCAGCAAAAGCACTGCTGTGGTGGGGCCATCCAAAGGGGAACAAGCAGCATAGGGCTTCCTTACTGCAGGGCAGGGTCCTCCCTCAGAGATCCTCTGTGGAGGTTCTGGCTTCAGAAGGCAGGCCATGGCTCTCTGTGTCCTTGTTGTCCAGTGTGCCTGTAAGAGGAAAGATTCAGCCAGCCCCAAAGGTGGCAGAAAGGGCTTTGGGATCCGGACTGGAAGCAGTCTCTCAGGAAATCCTCTTGGTAGAATGAATTCCAGCTCTTCTCACTGTCTTCTGTGTCATCTATCACTGCTATGGCTACCTTTGGCCCAACTAGAGCCCCTACAAATCTGTTGATATTTGTACAATGCCAATGATGATTAGATCTCTCTTGGGCTCCTTCTCTGGAAACGCAACAGTCCTGAGGATTCCCCCAGGCCTCCATCCTCTGACTGCCACTGCCATCATGATTATGACTATCTCCTGCCCTCCTGTTGCAGCCACACTGGCCACTTGTTGGTCCTCAACACACCAGGTACAGCCCCACCTGAGGACCTTTGCCTTCACTGCCAGGAGGATCTTCCACCCATCAGATACATGACTTTCTCCCTCCCTTCCTCTAACTCTTCACTGCAATGTCACCTGTGTAGCAAGGGGCTAACCACCCCACCCTCAACAATGGCAACCCACACCTCTGATCCTCTCAACTCTTTTCCCAGTTACATTTCTCTAAGGTACTACCACTTCAACCACATTAGAACTTCCCCTTTCTACTTCTGGTCTATCTCCAGGCATTACAGTGTGGGTTCCATGTGGACTTTAGACTCTCCAGAATCAACAACCATGCTTGCCATACAGCAAGAATGTAATGAATGAACAAAAAAGCTAGCCCAGTCAGGCACTAGTGGCTCACACTTGTAATCCTACTCAGGGGGCTGAGATCTGAGGATCATGGTTTGAAGCCACCCTGGTCACAAGAGGCAGTGACACTCTTTTCTCTAATTAAGCATTAAAAAAAAAAAGGGCTGGGGGGCTGGGAAGGTGGCTCAGTGGTAGAGCGCTTGCTTTGCTTGCCTGAGGCCCTGGGTTCGATTCCTCAGCACCACAGAAGCAAAAAGAAAAAGCCGGAAGTGGCGCTATGGCTCAAGAGCACTAGCCTTGAGCTGAAGAGCTGAGGGACAGCGCCAAGGCCCAGAGTTCAGGCCCCACGACCGGAACCCCCCCGCAAAAAAAGCTGGAAGTGGAGCTGTGGCTAAGTGGTAGAGTGCTAACTTGAACAAAAACGCTCAGAGGCAGTGCGCAAGCCCTGAATTCAAGCCCAGGATCATGTGTGTGCGTGGTGTGTGTGTGTGTCTGTGTGTCTGTGTCTGTGTCTGTGTGTGTCTGTGTGTATGTGTTCCTGCATATGTGCATGCACACAGAGAGACAATATAGGGGTGTGGCTCAAGTAGAGAAGTAACCTTGAGCAAAGAAGCCAAGTAAGAGCTCAAGGCCTTGAGTTCAAGCCTGAGTACTGGCACACATGTACATACACACACACACACACACACACACACACACACACACACTAGCCCAGGGCTCAGAGGATGGCCAGGGCTCCTGCACTGAGTCTGGAATGGGTACACAGGATGAGCAGAGTGTACCTGTGCCAGGCTGCTGCTCCTGAACCTGGGCCTGGTCTCCCTCCAGGTACAGTGCAGTCAGCAAGAAGCAGCCACCGCCCAGGACAATGGTGAAGACACAGCACAGGAAGCTCTGCTGCAGGCTGAGGAAGCACTGTAGGTAGGAGTCAGGGCGTGTGGCCCGCAGGGCACTGGAGATCTGCAGCAGAGGGAGAAGTGTCTGTCAGGCCAGCCCAATATTAACAAGTGTGGCCCCTGCCCAGCCCCTTCTAGCCCCCTTACAAGTCCAATGAGGTAGGGGCTGCCTGCATCTCCCAGGATGTGGCCCACTGTGATCTGAACTGCCTCTGCTGTTCCTCGGCACCTGGGTATCACCACGGACTGAAAAACACAGGAGGGAAGAGTGTCTACCCTCACCCTTCTTCCTGCTCCTGCTTGCCAGAAACTTGCCCTGAGATGGCCAGGTGAGGGGATGGATGGCTGGGTCTCAAGGCTAGTGCCTGGCCCAGGGCCTGGGATGGACGCCATTAGGATCAGGCTGCCATTCTTGACAGGCTGTGCTTGAGCTGGACAGGGCCAAGCATGGCTGTGAACACAGCAATGGGGCTAGGGTGTCCCAGTTTGGGGAATCAGAAACTGTAGTGCGGGGGGGGGGGAGCCAAAGGCATCCATGCTGGGGAGCCCCACATCTCCATTCAAGGACATGGCTTCTGGCATCCACCTGCTTGGGCTCTAGTCCCTGCCTTCCCTCCTACAACTAGCTGGATGATTCCAAGGAAGTCATTTCACCATCCCCTCAGCTCCACATGGGGGTTGGAGTAAGGCCTGCCTCAGGGGTATGTGGTGGTGTTAGTGACAACACTCAGGAAGCCCCTGAAGCTTTGTGTGGATTCTGTACCTCAGCCAGTGTTCCTGGCCTCACACCTCTCCTTCTCTGACTGGAGAATCTCTCACCATCACTTTGGACCTACCTTGAGTCACCTCCTCTGTGAAGCCTTCTCAGTTCAGGGGAGCCTTGAGCTCCCACACATACCCTCACTGAAACACGCCCCTGAACAGAGCCACCTCTTTTGTACCCTACAAGTTACAGGTAGTACAACCCCTCATTTCTCTTAGGGCCCCTGGGCTACAACAAAACATGATGCTTCCATGGGGCTGGGAAAGTGGCTCAGGGGTAAAGCACATGCATGAGGCCCTGGGTTCGATTCCTCAGCACCACAGAAGCAAAAAGAAAAAACTCGGAAGTGGTGCTGTGGCTCAAGTGGTAGAGCACTAGCCTTGAGCTGAAGAGCTAAGGGACAGTGCCCAGGCCCAGAGTTCAGGCCCCATGACCGGACCCCCCCCCCCAAAAAAAACCATAATGCTTCCAAGGAATGAACAAAAGTTGGCCAAATAAATCAAGTTGAATGTTATATAAGACAGGTCCTAGAAAAGAAAAGAAAAAAGCAAAACAAACAAACAAAAATAAATTAAAAATCCTGCCAAACCCAGAGCTTGTATCCACTTGGGCACACAAAGGGAGATACCTAACCTGAGGCCTTGTCCCCAAGAGCTCAGTGTCCATAATGTGAGCACGTTACAGAAAACCTTCTTTTTCTTTTTTCTTTTTTCTTTTTTTGTCGGTCAAGGGACTTGAACTCAGGGCCTGGGCGCTGTCCCTGAACTTTGTTGCTTAAGGCTAGTGCTCTACCACTCTAAGCCACAGCTCCACTTCCGGTTTTCTGGTGGTTTAGTGGAGATAAAGTTTCTAACCAGGGTGGATTCAAACCTTGATCCTCATATCTCAGCCTCCTACTAAGATTGTGGGCATGAGCCACTAGCACTTGGCAAGAACAATAATTATAACTGCTAACATTTGCAACATGCTTCCTGTATGTTTTATATGTAAACTTGACTAATCCACTAGGGTAACACAGTTATTCCTGTGTATTCTACAGATGAGAAAAACCTCCATATGGAGGGAAAGTGGCTTGCCCGGGGTGTCCCAGCCAGGAACCAACAGGGCAGAGGTTGTAGGTCAGGCCTTCTTAGAATGACCTCCATATTGGCATGTTTGCCACCAAACATTGAGAAAATGAAGAGAACATTAAAAAGGACAGGTTTATCACTGGGTCTCCTGCAAACCAGCAGAAGACAAATAGTAACTGACTGAGAAGAGAGGCAAAGGACTCTTTACGCTGGGGACAGTGGCATTTAGGCTATGGGAAGGAGCACAGAGACAAGGAGGATGAACACACCAGATCTGGGAGAGAGGGGCCTTGTGGGTGGGCATGGCAGAGCATAGCAGAGTCACTGTGAGAGGCCAGTGGGTTCTGGGTCCCTGGCTCTGAACCATTCTGTGCAGGTGATGAGGAAAGCCGTGCCTCTTGTCAATCTTGGACAGAACAGGACTAAGGAGGAACTGACCACAGCTCCACACCTTCCCCGAACTTCCTTCTCACCCCATAATTATGTGATTACTCACTGGCCTTGTGGGAGAAAGGCAGGGCTTCCTAGAGAGATGGCCCAGCAGGTCTGCATAGGTCCATGTGGGGCCCTTCTCCCTCCCTCCCTCTCCCCCTCCCAGGATCTCCAGTCTGCTAGGCCCAGACCAGCTGCTGCTGCCTGAGGTGGAAGATGCAGATCCTCCACATGCTGCACCCCCACCTCTCCATCCCCCACCATGTTTCCACACAGCCAGAGACCAAGGCTGGCCCAGTAACACCTGGGGAGTCCAGGGAGTAATTTTAAAAAATGAGAGGCTTTGGGGTTCTAAAAACTCCAGACTCATTTTATTCTGAGTCAAAAACAAAACAAAATATAAAAAAACAACCTATTTTTTACTTACCCATCTCAGAAGAGCAGTTCCCTTTATAACCCAGAGCAAAAGCAGCACCACTCAGTGGCTGGCAGAGTGGCGACCACCAGGCACAGCCTCCCTGGCAGCCTGCCTCCTGCACTCCATACTTGGCGGTGGCCCTCATGCCCAGACACCCCTGGGAGGGCAAGACAGATGCACAGCAGATGGCTACCTGGAGGAAAGAGGCTAAGCAGGGAGGCATGGAGAGGAATAGAAGAGAAAAAAAAAAGGAAAAGAAAGAAAGAGCACCTTGGGAGCTTAACAGATCTGTTGAAAAAGTAGGAGCTGAGCCTGGTGGTTGGGCCAGACAGACCTAGGAAAGTGGCCAGGAGCTCCCCTTCTGCTTCACTCCTCATGCTTGGGAGGCAGAGGGAGCAGGCTGCTCATGGGGGAGTCCCCATGAGCAGCTTTGAGGAGGCATTAGCTTGACATGAAACACAGCATGGCAGGCAAGGAGAGTTGTGGGGGTGGGAGGGGGTCATTTGCATCTGCACAAAGTCCCTAAGAGGAAGGGGCTATAGGGAGTAAGCTCACCATGGAGCATTGTGAACTAGGAGAAGGTAGACACTGGCAAAGGCTCTACAGATTGGAGAGCTGTCCAGGTATGTACCAAGGAAAGCTGGATTAGGATGCTAAGGAACTTCATTAGAAATTCAGGGCACAACCAGGTACCAGTAGCTCACACCTGTAATCCTAGCTAATAAGGAGGCTAAAATCTGAGAACTACAGTTCACAACCATCCTGGGCAGGAAAGTCCATGAAATTCCTAACTCCAATTAACCACCAAAAAACAAAAGTGGAACTATGGCTCAAGTGGTTGAGCTCTCGCCTAGGTACAGCACCCAGGCTCTGAATTCAAACCCCAGTACTAGTATATACATGTGTGTGTGTGTGCGCACGCACACACACACACACACACACACACACACACACACAAAGTACAACTCATGCCAGGCACTGGTGGCTCACACCTGTGATCCTAGCTATTCAGGAGGCTGAGGTCTGAGGATCACAGTTTAAAGACAGCTTGAGTGGGAAAGTCTGTAAAATTTATTAACCACTAACTAAATAAATAGAGAAATAAATAAATCTGGAAGTAGAGCCTGTAACTCAAGTGGTAGAGCATCAACCTTGAGCAAAATATCAAAGGGTCAGCACCCAGGCCCTGAGGTTCAAGTCCCAGTACCAGCACAACAAAGAAAGAAAGAAGTTGGGCATCAGAAGTTGGCTCACAGCTGTCATCCTAACTAAGGATCATGGTTCAAAGCCAGCCAGGGGAGAGGAGGGGAGGAGAGGAAGGGGAATCTATAGTCCTAGCCCCTACTCACTGAATCAGATGCTAAAGACGGAGGCCTGAAATTTAGAATCAGCGCCAAACTCCCACAAGCTTCATTCTTATGCAGAATGAAGTTTGAGAGCTATTGGTCCAGCCATTATCAGAGGCCCCTTCTCCAGAGAATCTGGATTCTCTTTCCCAAGTTAGGGAATGCAAATAGCCCCCTCCCCACACCAACTCTCCTCGTATCAAGCTTATGTCTCCTCAAAGCTGCTCATGGGGGCTCCAGCTCCCTCCTAGCCCTGCCCCTGTCAACTTGCTCCCTCCACCTCCCAGGCAGACATACAGACCTCCCTCAGTACATTCTCTCCTTCCTGCCTGGAACATGGTTGGTACTACCACGCTACTATTGTGCAATCAAAAAAAACCAAGGCTCAGAGAGATTTCCAAGTCACTTGGCCAAGGTTACACAGCTAGAAGGAATCAGAGCTATGAGTTAAACAGATGTTCTGCTGCAGGGTACTTGTGACTGGACTCCTCTGCTTCCCCATCCCCCCACCAAAATAAACCCAGTCTCTTTGTTCTATTTTTCTTCATGGCTCCCTCTCTACCAAGAACTGTCCATTAGAGCATAGCATCCTGCCCAATCATTCTGCACCCTGGACCCATGCACGTTGGGGCCCTCTCCATCTCTTGATCCTATACAAAGAGCAGCTCACATCCCTCCTCAGGAGTAACCAGTGAAAAGAACTCTCAAGACAGGGTGCTGGTGGCTCATGTCTATAATCCTAGATACCCAGAAGACTGAGATCTGAGTAGTTCAAAGCCATCCTGGGAGGAATGTCTATGAGGCTTTTATCTCCAATTAACCACCAGAAATCCAGAAGTGGCACTGTGGCTCTAGTAGCAGAGTGCTTGCCTTGAGCAAAAGAATTAAGGGGCAATGCCCACGCCCTGAGTTCAAGCCCTACAACTCACACACACACACACACACACACACACACACACAAGTGTCACTTTCTGCTCACACTGGTCTTCTTGTGGTCCTGTCTCAGTCCACCTGCTTCTGCTTTCTCTGTCCCCTAGAGGTTGGTCTGGCCACCTCTGTGGAAGTCCAGCTTTCCTGATCTATCACACCCAGGCACTGACTGCTCTTCCCCATCTCTATTTCTCAACTTCACACCTGATGATACCCAGGTAGGTCCCTAGACCCTTCCCTTTTGAGCTTCCCCTTTCTCTGCCAGGGAATCAGCACAGTGGGAGAGTGAACTCCAAGTGTTTGCAAGGCTCAATCTGGCTCTCCCCACCCACAGGAAGAAGTTTAAGAGAGGTGGGGAGGCAGAGAAAGAGAATCAGAAGCATCCTTGGATGGAGGGCCCTGCAAAGCTTCAGAGGGTAAAGGCCTGTATGCCAGGGAAGGACATGAGGAGCTCTGAGCCACGCTGGATCTTGGGCAGCTCAGCTCCCTGGGCCTTTAGCCAGCTGCCCATGGGTCAACTACCGTTGGCCGGCTGAACCCTCTCACCTCTTCGCACTATGCACACACATTCCTTCAGCCTGCAAAGAGCCTGGCACTGCCAGGTTAATCATCCCCACCAACAGAGTCTGTGGGGGACCTGGGCAGGCTTTGCATGTCTGTGAGGCTGTCATGTGGAAAAGGGAGCAGCGCCATGGGGGGCTGCAGAGGAAGCTTTGGAACATAGGCTGAGCTTTGTTTGCATCGCCTGAGAGAGAACGAGCTATGTTCTGGGTGAAGGATTCCTGCGTGCTGTCTCATTTGCTCCTCCGAGCAGGCTATGATTAGCCCTTTTTATGGGCAAGGAAACTGAGGCCCAAGGCCATCCAGCAGGTGTGGGACTCAATCTGGGCTGGAAGCCAAATCTCCTGTCTGGAGGGAGGCAGCAGACTTGGTGAAGACTCCAGTCCTGCTCACTGGGGCTGAAGCCAGGACAGCCCTTGCCACACTGGCTGAGCCCGGGCCACAGGGAGAGGCAGGAGTCTCCGCAAGAAACAAGCATCCAGTCAGCAAAAGTACCCAGACAGCTTCAGTGGCTCATTGAATGAGGATGCAATCCTATCACCCTTTCAAATTCACGATTCTTTTTTTTTTTTTTTGGCAGTTGTAGGGCTTGAATTCTGGGCCTGGGCGCTGTCCAGGGCTCTTTAGCTCAAGGCTAGCACTCTACCACTTGAACCACAGAGCCACTTCTGGTTTTCTTGTCATTTGTTGGAGATAAGAGTCTCATGGACTTTCCTGCTCTGGCTGACTTTGAATCGCAATCCTCATATCTCAGCCTCCCAAGTAGCTAGGATTATAGGTGTGAGCCCCTGACACCCGGTGTGTGTGTGGGGTGTGTGTGTGTGTGTGTGTGTGTGTGTGTGTGTGTGTGTGTGTGTGTGTGAGCTCAGGACCTGGTCAATGTCCCTGAATTCTTTTGCTCAAGGCTAGTTTTCTACCACTTGAGCCACAGCACTGCTTCTGGTTTTCTGGTGATTAATTGGAGATAAGAGTCTCACAGACTTTCCTTGCCCAGGCTGGATTTGAACCACTAGCCTCATATCTCAATCTGAGTAGCTAGGATTATAGGCATGAGTACCGGTGCCTGGCTCAAATTCAATATTCTAAGATGCCAGGGTATCTTTGGGAGAAAGAGGATGAGCGAACAGAAAGCTGGGAACTCCAATGAGGATCCTTGCCAGAATTCCCTGTGCCAGTTCATTCTCATTACAGCACAGAAAGTAGCTACTCTCATCCCCATTTCCCATGTTGGGAATAGTCTCAGAGACACAAAGTGACTTGTCTAAAGTTACACAGCTAGTGACAGAAAAAGGGCAAAGATACGGTCTGTGTCTTGAACCTAGACCTGTATCTCTACACTAAATGGCACTTGGGACAGCATGCTGCCAGTTACCAGGCTGTATAGGCTCTTTTGTGCCTGCCAAGAGGCAGTTCCTAGGCCCTGGAGCCTGTTATAAGCAATGGCAGGGCCCTCCACAGTGTTCAAAGGCCTTCCCTATATGGCAAAGAGGCAGAAGGCTGGGTAGAGTATGAGGTCAGGAAGGGGCCCAGCTGAACTCTGAACATAGCAGAGTCATGTGGGCAGCACAGGGTCCAGCCTCAACCACACGAGAAAAGGTGAGCTGACCCCAGCTGGGCTTGGCGGTCACTACATCCCTTATGCTGAGCTTCTACATCTGTACTCTCCAGAGTGCATGCCAAGGAGCTGGGCTGCTGAGAGGGGTCGGGGTCAAGGAGGAGGGACTCAGGGGTCCTGGAGTCAGAAAGCCTGCCTTTAACCAGACACTGGGGCTCATACCTATAATCCTAGCTACTCAGGAGGTTGCAATCTGAGGATCGTGGTTCAAAGCCAGCCCAGGTAGGAAAGTCCATGAGACTCATCTCCAGTAAACCACCAAAAAGCCAGAAGTGGAGCTGTAGCTCAATTGGTAGAGCACTAGCCTTAAGCACAAAATTTCAGGGTTAGTGCCCAGGCCCTGAATGCAAGCCCCAGAACCAGCACACAAAGAGAAATAAATAAAAAAGCATGACTTCAGTTTCACCCAGGGGCCTAGTCTAGGAAAAATAGGGATAATGGTCAGGAATGTTTGAGAGTAACAGGAAAGCCTCTGGTCCAAGATAACTGGGCAGTGGCCTTGACCTCCAACCCCCTGGTCTCCAAAGCCCTACCCAATCCCCAGGCTACTGTCAGCAGAGGAAATGGACAGAACTCTGAGATGGACAGAACTAAGCAGCTCCTAGCCCAGCCCCCACCCTGCCCATACCTACCAGCAGGATGTCAGCAACCACTGCCCAGCTGCAAGACAGAAGCAGTTCCCCAATGCCCAGGAACACCTGTGGAAAGAGGATGGCCTCATTGAGTCTCCTGCCTCAGTCACGACAAGATAAAACTAAGATAGCATCGTTGAGACAGATGGGGCAATGAAAGTCTGCAGCTATTTTTCTTCATGGTGAGTAGACCAGGCAAACCAGACCAGCAGCCATGACCCCATGTGAGCAATGGGGCTCAGGTCTGAGAAGCACACTTGCCTTAATGTATGGTCCTCAGGACCCAGCTCTGGGGTTACCCACAGAGCTTTGCATGAAACACCCAGGAAACCATTTGGAGGAGAAAAGCTGAAAAACTACTCAGGACTTGCCTATTCCTTCTCTGTTTTCTCCTAAGGCCAGTCTCACTGCTAAAGTACCTACTGACCAAGCCAGCCTAGAACAAGATGCTTCCGGCCTCTGTCCAGAATCCACTACCTGCCCACCTCCCCAGATCCTCAGGTGCTCACAGGCTACTTCAAGTCAATTTCACACAATCCTCTGACCCTTTCTACCTACCATATGCCAAGGGTTTGGGGGCAGTCTTCATGCCTCCTTCTCAAAAAGAGTTAATGAAGCAGCAAGAAGAAAGAAAAATGCTTCATTTTTCAGAGCTACCAAGAGCTTACTGCTGGGGTGGAATTAGTCATTCCTGGAGTCACGGGACTATGTCCAGGCAGCCCAGGCTAAGAAAAAAGAGCTTGATGGTCAGAGATCTGAGAGCACCAGGGCAGAGGAACAAAGGACCCTGCCTGAGCACTCTCTGTGCACCGGGCACATCTACTCGGACATGGGAACATCGCAGACCTGGGAACGCAGGCCTGACGGCACACCACAAGCCCCTTCCTGAGAACCCTGATAATTGTGCCTGGCCTAAGCACAGTGAGGGTAAGAAGGCCTTGGCAGAAAGTGCTTCACGAGCCTCCAGTAGCTGTGTGTCTAGCAAGGCTGGCACAGGTAATCAGAGAGGAACTCCCAGGCTGAGGGTCAGGGCAGAACCCTGAAGGGACAGTCAAATTCAAGAGGGTACTGAAAATAACTGCCAGACCACCCCAGGCAAAGGATCTTTATAAACAGATACAAAAGGCTGGACTGAGCCCATTGTGTGGGGCAGGGCAGGAGTGTTGTGAGTATGTGTGTGTGTTAGGACTGGGGCGAGAGCTGTAATCCTAGCTACTCATGAGATTGAGATTTGAGGATTACAGTTCAAAACCAGGCCAGGAAGGAAAATTTGTAAGACCAACAGAAAACCAGAAGTAGAGCAGTGGCTCAAAGTGATAGAGCACTAGCCTTGAGCTCAGGGACAGCCAGACCCTGACTTCAATGACCAACAAATGAACAAACAAACAAAACAAATGTCTCACAGAAGCTGGCATTGGTGGCTCACTTCTGTAATCTAGCTACTCAGGAGGCTGAGATCTGAGAATCATGGTTCAAAGTAAGCCCGGGCAAGAAAGTCCATGACACTCTTATCTCCAATAGACCACTCAGAAAACCAGAAGTGGCGCTGTGGCTAAAGTGATAGAGCACTAGCCTTGAGCTGAAGAGCTGAGGGACAGCACCCAGGCTCAGAGTTCAAGACCCACGACTAACAAAAAAAGTCTCACAGACTTTCTTGCCTCAGCTGGCTTTGAACTATGACCCTCAGATCTCAGACTCCTAAATAGCTAAGATTACAGGTGTACAGGGAGCCACCAACACTCAGTCCAAGAATGTGACTTCTGACAAAAGGAGGATAGAAGAGAGCACGGAAGCCACAGGCTTGTGTAGTTTTTCAGCCCAACTAACTCTGGCCCTTGGCTCTCAAACTGGGAGGCTTTGGAGGACAGCGTGGGTCTCCTTCAGGACCTAGAACATGGGCTAGGCACCCATAGGGTGGGAATCAGGAAATTGCTGGTAAGCAGGACCCAGGCGGGGTCCAGGCAGGCCGCAGACCCACATTCCAGCTGACAGGGCCTGCCAACAGGCCCCCGGAGACCACATGAGAGCCAGACCCAGCTCACACCCACTGTCCCTGGAATGTCACTGAGGATACTTGCACCTGGACCACCAGGCCTCTCCTGCCTTATACCCCAGCCTGCTTCTGTGCCCTTTTCCTCCACCCGGGCCAGATGCCAGCCACTTGAGCCTCGCAGCCTCAGAACCTCCTTGCCCTGCCTTCACAACCACAGGACATACTGAAATACTCCTTTTCCTTCCTCCAGCTGCAGCAGGGTGGATCCTGACCCCCAAAATAGAGCCCTCAGAGGGAGGCTGCAGCCACAATGGAGCTTTTCAGGCTGAACAAGCCACCCGAGGATGCCAGGCTTCCCCAGACACACCTGGAACCTGGCACTGCGCCACCCAATCCCTGGCTCCACTTTGCAGCTTTGAGGGGCAAAGGGCCAGCCAGGGAGAGGCTGCCTTCTAATCCCTTAATCACAGAGGCCCCTGAGGTAGCGGAGGCCCGGCAGTCTGGGCTCAGGGAGAAGCTATGCAGCAAAGGGTGCGACCTGCTCTGTGGATGCCTGGCCCCACCCTGCCTTCTGGGGGTGGGCCAGCCCCTGTACAATGGTGGGGCCCCCATGCCCTAGGCTCCTAGGGCACCAACAGTCAGCTTATAACCTGCCTGCACAAATCAGATCCTAATTCAATGGCTTCTACCTCTGTAACTGATTCAAATTTGGGTTTCACAAGCAAAGAGCAAGGAAAACAAACAAAAAGGCCCCCAGTTTGGAGAACTTAGAGCGCTACTCCTACATTATGCCCAGGCCTGTTGTTTCAGACCCTTCTGGCCCGTCACACACACACATCACACTGACCAGGTCCCCACATTCATTCTTCCACATCACTGTTCCAGCTTGGTGGGGCTGAACTGGTCAGGAGCCAGCAGTCCACAACTAAACTGCCAATGTTTCTTTTCCTTAGGCTCAGGGTGGCCAGGGAGACTATAGGCCAAAGGCCAGAGTGAGCCTGCAAAAGCCCCCCTTTACCTTCTCTCCTCATAGCTCTTCCACCCACCCCTACCCCGCTACAGGAATTTGGCCCCATCCTGATCCTCTTCCTTCTATCCACTGCCAGACATTGGGCCTGGCCCTCCTTCCTCAGCCTCCTCACAGGTTCCCATACCCCATCATCTCTTTGGCCACCTATGCAAAGGGGAATTCCAAAAGGGAAATCTGACTCTGCTCCTCTGAGCCTGTGCAGCTCCCCTGCTCCCTGGCTTCAAGCCCTTGGATGAAAGAGCCTGGGAATGCTGCCTGGGGCCTGAGAAACAGGCTGAGCCGAGAGCCCTTGACCTCATGGTGGACACTCCTGGCCTTTGTCACCCCTGGCCAGAGAGACATGCGCGCACACACACAGAGTCAGCCACCCATGTGCACACACTCACTCATATACAACCAGACAGCATGCAGACCTATGCATATTCACATCTGCATGCATGCACACACATGCACGTACACATACAACCTGGAAAGCACCCACAACACATATCATAAGTACATATGGAGGTAACAGGGATGGCATTCAAAAATATCAAAACATTAAGGAAGTGTGGCTTGAGTAGCAGAGTGTGTGCCTAACAAGGGTGAGACCTTGAGTCTAAATCCTGATACTTCCCTTGCCAAAAAAGTATGGCACTGGGTGCCCTTGAACAAGCCCAACTTCAGGACTGAAGCAGGAAGATTACATGAGCCCATGAATTTAGAGTAGGTCCTAGACAACATAGCAAGACATTCAAAAACAAAAGCAATCAAGCCATAGTGGCTCATGCCTGCTATTCTAATTGCTCAGAAGGCTGAGACAGGAGACATTCAAAGCCAACCTAGACAGACAAATCCATGACTTACTTCTCCAATTCACCAGCAAAAAGTCAGAAATGAAGGTGTGACTCAAGTAGAAGAGTACCTGTCTGAGAGAAAAGGCCATGTGAGAGCACAAGGCCCTGAGTTCAAGCCTTGGTACCAACAACAACAAAAAAGAAACAAAACAAAAACACAGGCTGAGAAGTACTTACTAAAGAAAAGCCTAGATACTTACCCGTGTAATTGTAACCCCTCTGTATGTTATTTTCACAATTAAAAAAAAAAAGAATGGCCTAGAAATTATTCCCAATACTTGTGGTCTCATAAGAAACTCAGTAAGATATGTTCATGCATGTGCGCATGCACACACACAGACATACACACTCATGCCCTCACATGAATGTGTATAAGTGAACACATTCACACCCATAGCTTCCACACTAATGCCTTCACACTACAAAGATCTCAGCCCACTACAAAAGTGGGCTTCAGGAGAGAGCAGGAAGGGAAGACATCCCAGGAAAGGTCTGCTCCTGTGGGATGGAGGGCCAGGGCCTTCAAACCTGGGCCCATCTTAGTCTTCCACCTGGACAGTGACAGGACCCTGAGAAGGTCACTGTCCCCATGGACTCATGGTGCCTGGGGAAAATCTGAGATCCATCCCTGAGGGTTTACAGACCAACTCCGTGCCAAGCATGACTGAGCCAGTCAGGACACAGGCCCAGGGCACAGACTGGCCACCATCAAGCTGATGCACCGGCTGGCACACTCTGCTCCTAAGCCTGCCAACTTGTAATTGCAGAAACTGGCATGAGGGCACAGGGGCACCACCTGGTTTCCAGGAGCTGGCAGCAGCACAACAACCTGGTTGACAGAGAAGCAGAGGGAGTGAGGTGGCAAAGGGGTCCACCTCTGGGGTCTTCCTGGGAAATTCAGCCAAGTGATAAGTTCTCTTGGTGGGCTTGTGCTGCTATCCAAGAGGTGAGGCTCCAGAGGAAGAGAGGGGCTCTCTCTCTCTCTCTCTCTCTCTCTCTCTCTCTCTGCCCCTCTGAGGCAGCCCCTGGAGCCTTGTTACTGTAGCCCAGAAAGCAAGAGAAGTAAAGTTTATCCACATCTCCAAGGACCACAGCCATGCTGTTGGCACCACCCTGGGGCCAGAAACAGATCCCACAGCCATCCTGCCTGAATTCCTAGCCAGCAGCCTTTTACTACAGCTAAGGTAGACACACAGCCTTCACTGAT